CAGAGAATTATGATTATTAATACTCTTATCACTACTTGAATATTATTTTTCTCTTTCTGCTATTTTAATCCTAAAGGAACCCCATAGGGTCTATTCCCTCCAATGTATCTGTGTACCACTGAGTGTTTGCAGCATGCTGCAAAAAGTGAGCTAAATGTGGTACCCAACAGAGAAACAGTAATATCCCCAAGACTTCTTTGCTGGTCCTGAAAAAAACATAGAAACATCCTGTTGCCCTTCCTCTTCAAACAAGAGAGATATTGTAATCATTAGAATTAACTTTCCCAAAATAGCATGTTTGCAATCTTTGCTTTAGGCAAGCAGATCACTCATTGAAATTTGTATTTTTACCTGAAAATTCATTTTCTCTTCAAATGGTATTTTTCCCTCAAAAATCTCACTATGAATGAACTCCCAATTCTGATTCCAAGTTCCTTATAAATCAGTAGTTGCTTATGAGTCAAAAAGCCTTCTGTCTGCCATAAGGTTGTAATGTTAAATGATTAATTTACATTATTTTAGCAATGTGAAAACAGCCCTGGCCAGGGACCCAGCTACCTGACCAAGGCTCGAGGACAAATGGCCAAGCTTCCTGGCTTTCCTCCAGCTTGATTTACCTTATTTCTAGTGAGAATCTGCCAGCAAATTACAGAGGGGGCAGTCTTGTAATTTGGCAAGGCAACACCCTGTGGACTCTGATGACTGACCTCCTCCCTTTTGAATTCTTTTTCCTTTTCCATTCCCACAGAATAAAAGCCTGAAATTCTCCTACAGAGTTTTAGGATGCTGATTCATTCCTATGCTTAACTAGTATTTATTGAATACCTAGTCTGTGTCAAGCACTGCTTCTGATGGTAAAAGAAAAAGAGGCCCAGCTTTCATGGACCTTACATTATAGTAGGGAAGAAAAATAATAAGCAAATAAAACTATAAAATTATAATATTTGATTAAAAAGCCATAAAGGTAACTGAAAGTGTTTAAAATGTCTGCATCTATTAGTCATGTACATTTTAAACACGATATAAACCCAAAAACTGGTTTTATGAGAAGTTGAACTAAATAGGAAAGTAGTAAAAATGAAAAAGGGCAGGAAAGGTGAGATTCAGGGAGACTGACTTCCTGTGCTTTGTTTTATTCTCTGCTTTTAAAATCAGGATGCTTGCTCAGCCTTCTTATTCTCAGTAAAGAAGCAAGGCCTCTGTAAAGGAACTTTATTCCTTCCCTGTGCAAATAGAAGCAGGGGTGCCCTGAATGCACAGTGGGGGAATGGATAATAATGCTTCAGGAAATGAATTCTTTAACAAAAATCGAAAGGAAGAGGTGCGGTCTCAATTCACTTCCGTCAAGTCCAGTGGTCTTAATATTTCAGATCCTGGTGAAGAGGAGAGCAAATCTTACATGTTATAGGCAGTGTCTGCCAATGAGAAGTGTGAGTTTTCAGACAAGTTTGGAATAATTAAAATATTTGATTCTGTGAGACCCACCAGAAAGGGATGGAGTGCCAGAGAAAAGGAGATGAAAATTGTTCATATTTTAGTGTACTCGTATACGTGTCAGACTTATTTGGTAATTTCTCCATCTCTATACAAAATATTGGGTTTTTTTTCCCCAAAACTCACATATTTCAAATCACAAAATAGCCTTTTGAATAAACAAATGAGGTAGTAGTTACTTTTGGGGATTCTTGACTGGGAAGGGAGCACAAGGGAATGTTCTGGGTTGATGAGAACATTCTAAATCTGGATCTGAAAGCCTGTTAAATGGGTGGGTACACATGCAAAAAGTCATCACACTGTATTTTAAGATTTGTGTGTTTTTACTGTATTTAATGTATATTTCAATGGAAAAATGAAAAAGAAAAAATAAGTGAAAGGAAATCCTAGATGTTAGGCTTTCAAATGCATGGTAAACTAGATGTCATAAATTATAGGCTCTGAGGTTCACATAGGGACTGATTAGATCTTTACAATCTTCCCATTGGCTCAGCTGATGACATGATTTAACAAACTGCAGAGCTGTTAACTCTCCTCCTTAATATTGGCACCCATTGAGTTCTAATACAAAACCTATCTAGAAAGGAAATTAGAAACAAATAAGGAAGAAAAAAATACCCACTGAGTCCTCAGCTGAGACAAGATTTGGGGATAGTGTCATGTTTGTTGGAAATTTTTCTCAGTGGGGTCTTCCATGCTGTTAATGGTTTTGACTCCCAAAATATTGAGTCCCCATAGGGATGTTAGATCTTCCACAAAGGCAGGAATAATTGTGTATGAGGCCTGTGCTCCTCGATTAAATGTGAAAAGTTCATTTTGTAAGAGAATCAAACTCAGCAAGTCTATGATTAGGAATATTAAAGTTTGGTTGTTTCCAACAGCAAACAATATATAATCAAATTCCATGTTGTGTGTTCTTTTAAGCTATCTTAATTTCCACTATTATTATTTTCTAGTTTCTCAAAAGCAAACTTTTCCAAGTTATAATGAAATTTCCAGGTATTCTGGTTTTGATTCACTTAAACAAATTATCCACATGCCATCTGATTATTTTCTTATGATGAACATTTTTTATTTTTTGAATTATAAATTGACAAATTATAGTTGTATATGCTTATGAGGTACAAAGTGATGTTATGATTTATGAATACAATGTGAATCATTAAATCAGTCAAATAAACATATCCATTACCTCAAATACTTATTTTTTGTGGTGAGAACATTTAAAATTTACTCTCATAGCAACTTTAAAATGTACAATACATTACTCTTTATTATATTTGCCACATTGTGCAATGTATCTCAATAAAAAGAAAAAATGTTCCTCCTGTCAAATTAAGGCTTGTAGTGTTTTGCATCACTCTTTACAATAGCCAAGTTATGAATGAACATATTTTTGTATAATGTAAATATTCCTTCTTTAAAAAATAGAAAAGAATAAATTCTCATTATGGTAATAACAATTTTAAGCTCATGGATACTTTTGAGGTTTCTTTTTTCTCACTCTTAGTAAAGTATCACTTATTTTTTTAAAAACTAGACATTAGATTCTTTTGATTTTTCTACTCTGCCTTTATATTAAAGAGTTCATGGCATTGATCTCAACAAAATTGTGTTTGCAAAAAAAAAAGTTATCATGCTGGGAAAAAATAGCTAAATATCTAAATATGTACAGATATATCTATAGATAAATTCTAAAATTGACAAAAATTATTCTTCCTGTCTAAAATGTTATTTTATATCTGTTGTATAGAATTCAAAGCTATTTATTTCCTTTAGAAACAGGGTATTTGAGTTCTTAGAATAGCCCCCAGAAGCTAACTAATTTATTTAGCAATGTAGGTGAAGTACTGTATGTTTAGGGAAAATTTTTAATAATAATATTATTATATTAATAGCAAAACTTTAGAATTTTGCAATTTTATTGGATAGTTAATGTTTAAAGAAAAACATATTTAATTACATGAAGATAGAAAAACTGATATGAATAATTTTTATAGACATTTCCAAATAATCTATACTTGTCAATACAGATGATGCACAAAAAATAAATAATAAAAACAAAGTATAAACCATCTCACTAACCAGAAATATGTACTCTTAATATAATGGTGTGTTTATCTCCAAGATCGAAAATATATTTTTACACTGCAGTGCTTTGTGTCTTGCTTTTCCCAATTATTGTTGTATTTTAATAACTTTGATTGTCAGCATGGATTCTTTGTTTAATTTCTCTTCAAATTCAAAATGTTTCCTTTCTTTAAAATAAGTGTGCCACATTTTGTTGTGTTTTTACTTGAATAGATTGTAAAATGGAGCAGAGACAGGAAAGAGAAGGGAATCAAGAGGGCAGAGTGAGAATAAGGATGACAGCAAGGAAGAGTTTAGGTAACTGTATGAAACTTACAGGAGTCTTAGATAGAAAAGATATCTGAGATATATTGAGCAGGATTTGGAGCAGTCAACTTCAGAATATCAAGAATTGTAGGACTAGGGTCAAATGAGTATAAGTATCATCTTTCCCTACCTTGTCACTTGAATGATGACAAAAATGAATGCTTGTGAGTTTAAGATCTTGTTTAAGGGGTTGAGATTTTTTGAGACAATACTAGAAAGGGAACTTAGGTCTGCTGTTTCTCAATCCTAATTTCCTTCCTTGAATCTTGGAAGTGTAGAAAAATGGAAGAGCAAGAATTGTGCACCATTCTCTTAAGGACTAAAAAAGCAAGTAGTGAAAATGAGATAGTGGCTCTATGAATATCCTGAAATCAGGATCAGCCAGAGCTGGCTGGAACTCAGAAAAGTTAAGGAAAGAGGAAAGCAGAGCAGAGTAGTCCCTACTGGATGCAGAGACGTGACGACAATGTACAAACCACTATCCTTGAATGAATTTTTTTAGCTCAAGAACCACTTGCTTCAGAATCATAACAATTCTACAATGAATGCTACAATATATTGTTAACTTATCCATGTATATTAGTAAATGAGAAGACTGTAGAGTTAAACATTTGCCTATTTGATGGAAAGAAAACCAACACTTATCACAATCAATCATGATTATCACATCATTTGTTAAATGGATAAATTATTGCATCCTTGAAGCACTTATTCAAGGTATGATTCTAAAACACTATAAGCCTTATTTCCTTGGACATCAGTGTGATTAAGAGTCTATTGTTCTTTTTTACACCATTTTTTCAGTGACCTTTTAAATTCTAGTATAAAGTTGGGACCAGCATTAATGTTGGGGGTGGGAGTAGAGTCAGAGGCTGGAAGATGGGAATAAAAAATAAAGGGTTACAGTGAAATATTACAATATTTAAAAATTTTGTAAATGACTGCTCTTCATTTGAAAAGCAAAAACCACTACCCTGAATTAGAGCTTAGATTTCATTATTTGAACCAATATCACTTTGCTTAATACCAAATTTGTTTTTATTTGTTTCTCAAGAATCAGACCTCATATATTTAAAACTGGTTTTTAAATTTTTTTTTTCTTTGCTAAGACTCACCTTGACCTTATCCTGTCCCATGGACTTGAAGAACTTTCCAATGGATGTCCAGACCTGTACAATGCAGCTGGAGAGTTGTAAGTCACCACTCTTGAAATGATTGTCTGCTTTTTTTCACCAATCTTTTGGTATGTCATTAAAGAGAATATACCCTTAAGACTCACTCTCTGCCTACTTACCAACTCCCAATGCCCTAATGGAAAAACATGCAAAACTGTATATGTGTGTGTCTCTGCATTTTACAAACAGAGAAACTGTTTGTAAAATGCAAAAAACATTATCAATACAGCATAGACAACCTTTCAAAGTAAAATGCCAGATAACTTGCCCTTCCTCAAAAACAAACCTGATTTAGTAAGCTTTTCTTTGAAATGAAAATGTCTCCTGGGGAAGTTAAGATTTTTAGTCATTAAATTAATGAGTCACTCTCTAATCATAAATTGCATTTCTTTCCATCTTATGCCCATATAGACCATCACACCTGAAGAATTCTGGCAGGAAGGGATAATTGCTTTAAGAACAAAACACAGGGACCTTAGGCAAAGGAGGATGCAAGAACAAGGGGCATACAATGAGATGGAATAAGATCAAATAAGAGGCATCTCTCTTAGCTAAGCAATGGATATACAAAGGCATGGTAAAGCAAGTAGAAAAATCCCATCTACTTGGTTCCCTTTATGCTCTAGCCCTGATGCCACCGAAATCTTTGACACGTGCCATAAGTTGCTGATGCTTCCAAGGTAATGGGATTTTCGGTTGAGACCTGAATTTTTTTCTGGTTTGTTCTGTCAGTTTCTCTGTTTGTAAAATGCAGAGAATAACAATTGCTACTGACCTACAGGAATATTAGGAGATTTAATGAGACAGGGGCAAGGATATACTTTTAACTTCTTGGTTTAGAAAAATAATACGTGTAAAAAGATACATCGACTATAATTTAAAAAGAGGTAGTGACAGAGTTTCCTTCTGATCATTTAAAATCACTGCAGATTTTCCTTGAAACTTTCCACAGAAATAAACAAAGTAATGAACATCTTTGTTTAAAAGTTGTCATAGATAAAATGAGAATTTCTGATTTACAATAGGCTTTATGTATTCATTTTTCCCTATTGTCCCTCCTCTTAAGAAGAAAGTTGAGGAAAACATTTTCTTACATAATTACTTCTTTGTGTCTACTCTGCTGTTCCAAACTCTCTCCTGCCTCAACCCAAGACTTTTATTTTCCCTGTAAAACAGTGGGTATAGTGATCCAATGAAGCTCACCCAAAGCTTTAAAATCTTGAATCAGTAAATATGCTCAGTCCTTGCGGGATCAAAAAATAATCAAATCAAAAAAGCATCAATGTGGATGGGAAGAGTGAGAATTATTTTTTGCTTTTCTACCCCAATATAACTCTCGCCTTTCACATCTCTTTATCTCCGCTTTCTGCCCCATGCTGGACTTTTAGGGTAACTGACAAGGACTATTATTGTGGTGGCCATTGAGAAGCTCACCAGACAAGGACATGGGGTATTTGGAAAGCTTGGGGTATTTACTGAAAGTACCTAGGATGTCCTCATACAGAATTGCATTGGAAGAGATAAGTTTTGCCATTCTCTTTGTGGACCACCAATGCTTGTAAAGGGTCCTCTTTGTAACTCCTTGCTTTTCATGTTTTTATTTTTTTGACTTTGAGCTGAAAAGGTAGTCCAAAGAAAGAACAAAGTAGATTCCAATTAAATTTGCCATTGATTTCTGGGTAGCTTTGGTGAGTCACTATCTTGCAGTAAATAAGAATAAGAATCCATAAACTTAATAAACATGCTAAGATTATTGACTAACCGAGACCTCACATAATATCCTCTGTCCTCATCATTCTCATTTTAAAAGTTCAAATATCACAAACAAACAGGGAAGGGTAAAGAAATGGTGCATAAAAAAAGAGTAGCCTTCATTTCTGGGGTGCAGAAAGATGCGGAAGCAATTGACAAACAATGACCTAGTTAGCAAGAGCTTGGAGACTGAGAGCTAATTTACTAAGCTAACAGTTTTACTTCAGATGATTCAAGTCATATAAACAATATGATCTTTCACAACAGGGAATCTATTTTACTTCACATTAATAATTGTGATGAGTGAACCCATTTAGCAAAACAAATGTATATTGTTAATTTACATAGTCCACAATTTCCTCTTAGGTTACCTGCCTATAGCTTTCCCCACTTGCACAAGTAAGACTTTAATATAAGCTTCTCAAAAGAACAACTAATATACCCTAGGAGAAGGGCCAAGTTTGCAGTGGGAATGTTTTAGGCAGGCCCGTGATGAATTCATTCTCATTTTTTAAAAAATGTTTTTTCTTTTAAAGTACTAAAACTGGCACTGTGAATTCAATTGTCTTATTGGATTGCCAAAGACACAGCTCTTACAAGTAAAAACAATCTTCAAAGGAGTTTTATGTGTGTTTATTTGTTTGTTCTTCAGAAAGAGTTAGTGAAGAAAGAGGCAGAAAAAAAGAAGACTTTATAGATTCCATTCTCTCATTACACAGAGGGGAAAAAACACCCATAAATAGCTTGCTGCCTTCAGTTTCTTTGGCTCCAATGACATGTAGTTGTCGTGATGATTGCAGCTCTTTTATTAAGAATGGTCTTGAATTGACTGAGCATGTGTCTGTTTTAGACAATTTCCTTGTTTGTTTCTTTCCATGGCTAGATCTTCAAGCTTTCTTGAAAAAACACATTCAATTTTTCACTGTGATTTCTTTACTCCAGTTGGGTACACAATGAATGACCTGATATTTGAGTGGTTAAGTGATGGTCCAGTGCAAGTTGCTGAAGGATTGACCCTGCCCCAGTTCATTTTGAAAGAAGAGAAGGAACTTGGCTACTGCACAAAGCACTACAACACTGGTAAGTTCTCTTTCAGCTTCTAACCCCAAGTGAGCTCCATTTGCAGCTTGGGGTATATATCCCATCACCTTAATTGCTGCACATTTACCAAGCAAATGGAGCTACATACTTGGCATAGATCAGATTTAGCTCAAAATCCTCTCAATAGATAAGATTCTTGTACCCTCTGGAATAGGTTAGCGAGCACAACAGATAATTTCCTCAGAACATAGAGAGAAGGAGAGAGGATTGGAAATTTTTTTTGCTACTCTTTTGCTGACCATCTGTTGTCAAATGAATCTGAGGAAAGGTGTAGGAGATCTCATTAGTGGTATGAAAAATAAAAATTATGGCCCCCTTTCTGGCATCCACTCTTGCCATTGGATCCTCAGGACAATTTGCACTTTCTGCCTTAGTGCAAGAGAAGGATAATAACATAGGTCTTTGTAAACCCAGAAATAGAGCTGTTGCGCTCTTTGGTCCTGCATAGCAATAAGAGTTTGGATGAAAATCAGTTGGCGGGAATTCAGCTGGCTCTAAAGTCATGTGTTATCAGCGGTACTGACAGACACATGGTGAGGGGTAACTTGAGGTGGTAGCAACAAGTGGGCATCTCCTGTTGCCTAGAAGATTACGTTAAAGCTGTTGTCTTTTCCTATGCCCGGGTCTTCAGTACCATGCAATTGATCATGGAGAGACAATTAAGACATGTCGGTTTGTCCAGTGACTAGTCCAGGTCCCTTGCTGAGGAGAATGGTTTATGCGAACTTGTTCTAGCAGTCAACAGTGACTTTCTGTAAAATAAGAAAAGCCCAATTCCAAGGTGTACTTCCTGACCAAGAGGAATTCTATCTCTTATAATTCGTACGGACTAAGTGAAATTACCTTCTGGGGTTCTAACTCCAGGCCAATCAAAAAATAAAAAAGTGAGAAGTGAATGTCTACCTCTTAATAGTATGTTAAAAATTTTGATATCTTCATATGGACTCTTCTATAGGCAAAGTAACATTGCAAATATTTTCTAGGAATATTCTAAATGTCCTCAAGCAATTATCCAGAAGGCTAGGAAATTTGTACAATGACAAAATTTTTTCTTGTCATTAATAACACAAAGATAGATACACAGTTATTTAAATGCTTTTAGAGTTTTACGTAAACTTTACTACTTAGGAGAGGATGGTTTCAATGATTATATTGTATATATATCATATGTTATATATCACATGCTATATAGTATATGCCATATGTATATGCTATATATTGTATATTATGTGCTATACACTACATATTATAAACCCACAAAATTTGAATATTTTATTTGCAGTGGTAAGTTTACGTCAGTATTGCAAATTCTGAAGCTCTGTCTAATTAAGCCGTAACAAGCACAGATTTTAAAAAACTCAATATGCCATATGGTTTTGGTCCAGTGATTCTTTAGATCACACATTCTCATGCTATTATTATCATTATTATCTCACAGTAATTATTTCCATTACTGGTTGAGTTGGAGAAGAGTTGAATTGGTTATGTAGGGTGAGCATTTTGTGCAATGTTCCAAATCCATCTGCAGTAGTCATTTAAAAAAATAAAGTGGGATGCTGAAATTGGAAAGATAAATTTAAATTCAAATTGGACTTTAATCATTTCCTGCCTCCAGGAAAGTTTACCTGCATTGAAGTCAAGTTTCACCTGGAACGCCAAATGGGATATTATTTGATTCAGATGTACATCCCCAGCCTGCTGATAGTCATTTTATCATGGGTCTCCTTCTGGATAAACATGGATGCAGCCCCTGCCAGGGTTGCACTGGGTATCACCACAGTCTTAACAATGACCACCCAGAGTTCAGGCTCCAGGGCATCTCTGCCAAAGGTAAGAAATCTTGCTTGACAACAAATGACCTGAGAGAATTACCAAAGGTCTTGTGAGCGGGAGAATTTGTGAAGACAGAAATGCTTACCAATGTATGCACTGCTGTAGATGCAAATGAAATAAAAGAAAGAAAAACTTTATCCATTCCACTTTCAGTGAGCAGTAGGGTTGCTTCCATGTTTTTGCTACTGTGAATAGTGCAGCTATAAACATGCGGGTGCAGCCGTCTTTTTGGTAGAACAACTTATATTTCTATGGCATATTCCCAGGAGGGGATCATATGGAAGGTTAATTTTTAGTTCTTTTAGCAATCGTCACACTGCTTTCCATAGAGGTTTAACTAGCTTGCACTCCCACCAATAGTGTAGAAGTGTTCTCTTTTCTATGCACCCACATCTGTTGTTTTTGACCATCCTTACTGGAGTTAGGTGGTATCTCGTTGTGTTTTGATTTGCATTTCTCTGATGATTAGTAAGGTTGAGCATTGTCTCATGTATCCATTGGATGCCTTTTTGTCTTCTTTTGAAAAGTGTCAGTTCATGATGGAGTATTACACAGTCATAAAGAAGAACAAAATCATGGACTTCACAGCAAATTGAATGGAGTTGGAGACCACCATACTTAGTGATCTATCACAGAAGCAAATAACTAAATGCTGCATGTACTCACTTATAAGTGGGACCTGAACACTAATCATATTAGCACAATGGAGAGATTGTACGGGGTACTACCAGGAAAGGGAAGGATGGAGGGGAGCATGTGACAACACAAAGAATACTTGGTCTTTACCAGGGGAAGTGAGGGTCAGCTGGAGGCCCAAACTTCACCTGTATGGAGGCTACCTGTGTAGTTAATCCTTCTTTGCGCCCCACATCTTCATAATAAAATAAAATTTAAAACAGAATCTCCATATTATAATGAGATTATACTATATGCCCAATGAACCACGTAATAGACAGTCCCCTAAATGTAAGACATTACACTATGGGCCCAATTTACCACTTTGAACACCTCTTGCCAAGTGTAATAAAACAGAATTAAAAAGAAGACTGGCAAAAAAACAAAGAGAGAGAGAACAAAAGGTTGAGTTTTAGAGAATCAAGACTCTGAGAGCATGGGGGATCCTCAAAGTATATCAGTTAGAGGACAGGGGAATTGGGATTGAGAGAGAAGGGTGTGAATGGAGGCAGAAATGTGGCCCGGGGATTCTAAGAGGCTTTTGAGTGCTTTTGACCTTAGTTGTTTATGAGCCATGAAACTTCCAGGAATTGGAGTGAAATTGATGCAATTTATGCTGCATTGTCAAGTATTCATTGGTAAGATTATTGCAATTCATATATGCTCAGTGAAGTCATTTAAAGTAATAAAAGTTTGAATTAGACCTCTGGAAATGTACACAGAAAAACCAAATCAACGAATATATGTAAGAAATGAAAGAATGTACAACACTAGGGTGCAGCAAATCAGATACATGAATCTTTGCTATGCCTTAATTTCCTTTAATGGCTGATAGGCTACTGTTTTTGGATGATACAATTACTTAAAGAAGAAACAGTGGAGTCGCTCAAGAAAATTCCAGAAACTATGGCAGAATGATAGAGGAGTGTGGGGTGTATATCAGGGGCACATAGACATTTTATAGCACCTCGAATCATAATCTATAAGTGGCTGTGTAATCTATTTTTATGTAAGGCAGGACCTCTGCCTTTATAAATATTGCTCAAGCAAGTGATGATAAACGCTCTGCTTGTGAAATGCCCCAGCACCCCAGAAGTGTGCCTATGTGTACTTCACTGAGTAAATTGAGCCATCGGCTTCAGCTGTCCAGGAGTGTGAGTTTAATTTAGCATTCAGTGTATACTGTCTCATAGTGGTTGAGGAGTCTCTCCAAAACCCGGTTCCAGAAAATAATTGAGATGTAATCCTGTATTTTTGCTGCCTTGAGCTTATGTTTGGTTGTGCTATATTTGACATAGTGAGAAATGTTAGATCATGTTCCACATTATCTCCTATGTCTGGAAGATACAATGACATATGGGCAAAATCTGTGGCTATAATGGAGGTGGGCTGAATACTGGAAAAGTAGTTATACAACTTATTAAGTCCCATGCCTCCAAAAATAAATATTAGGTTTTCTGTGCTTGTAGAGAAAGGAATAGAGCTATAACTGAAACTCATCTTCTGGAATAACAAATAGTATAATGCACCTGTGTTGTATTTCTATTAGAATACAGATATCAGAAATACTAACAACTTTTTTTAGCTATATAATCACAGATCAATTTGATCTGATAGTAATTCTAATCTACTCTCTGCCCTCCCCAAATAGGTTCATTTGCTTATTTTTTGTTAGTTATCAGTTATTGCCATCATTGCATGCCATGCCATTAAACTTCAGGATGCACAAACATATATTTTACAATTTAATAGACAGTTAAAATACTAGTGACAGATTGTGAGCAAATAATGTCAAAATATAAGACATTTATCTTCCAACTGATCATTGCTATGAAAAGAGTAGCCATTTGTTTTCAAAATGAATTCCTGCATCTGTATAGATGTGTCATTCATTCTATGAAGCTGTTATGATCCTGCATCAATGGTCAAAACTATTGCTAAATAAATGGTCATTGACCAGTGATCTTTGTATGTAAAGCAGTCAGGAATTCAGATAAACCAAAAGAGAATACGATCAAAAATTATTTCGTACTTGGCTCTGAACTGATAATGGTTATCCTTTAGCCACCAGCAGCTTTGTCTGCCTACATGTACTTTTCTTAGGATATTATTAAACGTTTGCTCTCAACTGACTGTGAGAAGATGTGACTCATATGGAAGTGATGAGAAACCAAAATAAGATAAAAAGTGAGTCATGGAAAATAAAGAATTGACCATACACTTACTTATACATACACATGCATATAAATACTCGTTTTAATTTATAAACACTGCAATCCCAGCCCAAACACTCCACTGTGCTGATTGGAAAGTTGATGCAGGGCCTACCGCAACACCCTGTACAGAGTATATATGCACATTGCACTTTAAACGTAAGACATGTCTGCATTGAAAAGCTACAAAATACAGAAAACATCATTAACAGTAACCATCAGCAAATAACTGTTGTTAAGACTTTGGTGTAATTCCTTCCAGTCTCTTTTCTATTCATGTTGTGGGCAGACCCACTTACATGCACACACAAAAAATTGAGATCAGACTTTTATAAAATTCTATGCAATATGCCATTTCTGATGGCATTAAAAATCTATTATAGACATAATTTTTAATGACTCCATAATAGTCTATCTGAACATCATTAATTATCACTTATTTAACAATCTTGGATATTTAGTTTTCTCTTTTTTGCTTTTAAAAGTATGATAATTATACATATATGTTTGCATATGAGTATATCACTGTGTTCTAGAAGACATATGTATAGTTTTTTATATATGTATTTCTTCTTTTTTATTTTATTTTTTAAAATTGTATTTTAAAGATGTGGAGTACAATTCAGGATTAGGTATACAAGTGGTCATCATACAGTTAAAGTTTTGGCCTCCCTTTGGTCCCCACTTTGCCTAGTTTGAGATCAGGTACCCTTAATGATGTTGTGTTCCCCCCACCTCCTGCCCACGCATCCCAGCAGTATCCCGCTACTGCCAATCCCTTTCTCATAGTATTATGGTAAATGTTCAGGGTCCGCTTATGAGTGAGAACATGTAGTACTCTGTTCTTTGTTATTGAGATAGATCATTGACTGTGATAGACTCTAAATCCGTCCAAGTAATATACCATCATATATATGTACCTACCACATTTTTTTAATCCAGTCCAGTTTCAATGGGCAGCGCGGATGGTTCCATGTTTTTGCTATTGTGAATAGAGCGGCAGTAAACATGTGTGTGCAGGTATCTCTTTTGTAGAATGACTTGAGTTCCTCCAGGTATATTCCCAGAAGGGGGATTGCTGGGTCATATGGAAGGTCAATTTCTAGGTCTTTTAGAAATCGTCACACTGTTTTCCACAGAGGTTGTACTCGTTTACACTCCCACCAACAGTGTAGAAGTGTTCCTTTTTCTCCGCATCCTCACCAGCATCTGTTGTTGTTTGTTTTTTTAATGATGGCCATTCTTACTGGGGTAAGTGGTATCTCAATGTGGTTTTGATTTGCATTTCTCTGATGATGAGTGAGGCTGAGCACCTTTTCATGTGTCTGTTGGCTGCTCGTATATCTTCTTTTGAGAAGTGTCTATTCATGTCTTGTGCCCACTTTTTAATGGGGCTGTTTGTTTATTTTTTTTTTCCTTTTGGCACATTTGAGTCCCTTGTAGATCCTGGATGTTAGGCCTTTGTCAGATACACAGTTGACAAATATTTTTTCCCTATTCTGTGGGCTGTCTCTCCACTCTCTTCATGGTTTCTTTTGCTTTGCAGGAGCTTTTCAGTGTGATGGGGTCCCAATTGTCTATTATCTCTTATAGCATGGGCACTCGGGGTTTTGATCAGGAATTGGTTGCCAGTCCCAATTTCCATAAGGGAGTCTTCTGCATTTTCTAAGGTTCTTATAGTTTGAGGTTTTGCGTTTAGGTTTTTGATCCATTTAGAATTGATTTTTGTGTATTGTGATAGGTAGGGGTCCTGTTTCAATCTTCTGCATGTGATCAGTCAGTTTTCCCAGCACCATTTACTGAGTAGGTTTTCCTCTCCCCAGTGGTTGTTGGTGGGGCCTTTGTCAAAGATAAGTTGGTTGAGAAATTGAGGTTTTGCTTCTGAAATCTCTATCCTGTTCCATCGGTCCATCTGCCTATTCTTGTACCGATAACAGGCTATTTTGATTATTGTAGCCTTATAATAAAGTTTAAAGTCTGGAAGTGTGATATCTCCTGCTTTGTTTCTTCTTTTGCTAAGGATTCTTTTGGCTATTTGTGGTCGATTATGTTTCCACATGAATTTCTGTGTTGTCATTTCCAGGTCTGAGAACAATGATGTTGGTAATT